TTATGTTATATAAATAAAAATAAACATTTTTGTTCTTAATTAAAAAGTTCATTATCTTATTTATTGCAATCCTTTATAAAAAATCATTAACTTTATTATCGAAAGATCCTTAAATTTCATAAAAAAAAATTGTTTTACAGATATCAAGTCTTTTATTATCAACCATTAATTTTGTAAACTCTAGAGAAGAAAATATGAAAATAAATGTATGATCATCTTTTACACTGTCACTCAATATTTTTCTTTTACCATCAACCATTAATTTTGTAAACTCTAGAGAAGAAAATATGAAAATAAATGTATGATCATCTTTTACACTGTCACTCAATATTTTCATTCTTAAATATAATGAATTTTTATAACATCATCAATTCGAGACACTGTTAAGATGGTGGTTATAATTGAATAATACTATGATTATAATTTAACTATGTATATATATAGTTCAAGGATAAGAAATGATCACAAAAAAATTATTTGATAGAGTATAAGAATTAATTATAACTAAAAGGAATCAACCTTTTGCTATAGATTGCACAATATTGTCCTAAGTTTGGCAAGTTAACTCAATTGATTTATTTTTTTCTTCATTAGTTTTTTCTTTCAAGTTTATCTTTTAATATTGTAACTATAACTAAACGAGTTTAACCTTTCATTATGGATTGTATTATGCAATAACTAAAAGAGTTTAACCTTTCATTATGGATTGCATTATGCAAATCCATATTGAAAGATGAATGCCTTTTAATTATAGGATTTTTTGGTTTTTTTCTTTTTAATTAATTTTTTTTTGTTTAATTTAGTTTGTTAATATTAAATTTTTTTCTATTTAGTTATCACAGTCTCATGACACGGATCTCAAGTTTGACGAATTAACCTCGTTTAGCGGGTTAACCTAGTTGATTCATTTCAATCTCATGACACGGATCTCAAGTTTGATGAATTAACCTTGTTTAGCGGGTTAACCTAGTTGATTCATTTTTTTTCTTAATTAGTGTTTTTCTTCTAATTTTATTTTTTAATATCGATTCAATTGAAAATTAGACTTTATAAAATTTTTTATTTTTTATTAGATTATCGTAATCTCATAAAGAGGTTTTATTGTACTCCTCCTTGCAAAGCACTAGTCTTTAGAATAATGCTTTTCTTTGTTTTTTTTCTTTTCAATTAACTTTTTTTATTTAATTTTATTTTTTAATATTATTATTTTCTATTTAGGTGTCACAATACGACCTTGCAATCAGACTCATATCCAAGACTCTTGGGTCTAGTGTTCCAGTTAAACCCAAGACTCTTGGATTTAGTGTTGCAACTAAACTCATTTAAACTGGGGTAATGTAAGTTTAATATTATTATTAATATTATAAATATTATTATTTTTATTATAATGAATATTGCTAATATAATAATTAATAAATTTGAAAAAATATATTGTTAGTTATAGGTTTTTTTTGTTTTTTCTTTTTAATTAATCTTTTTTGTTTAATTTAGTTTGTTAATATTATTTTTTTCTATTTAGTTATCACACTCTTATAAGATGGATCCCAGGTTTGGCGAGTTAACCTACTTTGGTAAGTTAAACTAGTTAATTAAGATTTTTTTTTAAGTAATTTTTTTTCTTTCAATTTTATCTTTTAATATCAATTTGATTAAGAATTTAAATTTATGATTTGTTTTTTTTATTTTTCATTAGATTATTGTAATCTCATAAGGGGATTTTACTGTACCCCTCCTCGCAAAGCACTATTCATTGGAATAGTGCTTTGCTTTGTTGGTTTTTTTCTTTTTTTGGTTCTTTTCAATTATTTTTTATTTAATTTCATCTTGTAATATTATTATTTTTTATTTAGTCATTATGTTTTTATAACATAACCTTGCAGTCAGACTAACATCCAAAACTCTTGGGTCTGGTGTTGTAGTCAAACCCACTTAAATTTAGATCATTAAAGTTAATTTAATATTATTATTAATGTTATAAAAATTACTATTGGATCAAGCATTGCAACTAAACTTAAATTTTTTGAATATAATTTTATAAAAAAAACCTAAAACATTTAAATTTTAATTTTTTATATTTTTTATATAAAAAATAACTCGCTGTATAGTGCGTACCATGTAACTCCTATTACTGTTACTAACTTGCCTAACGCAAAAGAAATGAAGAGGGTAGACGAATTAGTAATTGAGATATAAAGCCCAAATAGTGCATGGGCTCTTCCTGGTAGGTACCCAAATACAAAGAGAACTACTGATGGGAATGGGAACTAAAGCCGAAGCGTAGGATACAAGCCCAACAAGATTGTTACTAATGGATCGTGAAAGAGAAAGATTGTGCTTAATATCATTTCCAGTAATATATTTGAGAGAATTATTTGTTTTTTATTCTTTTTTTATATATATATAAAAAAAGGATCAATTTCTCTTCTTGTGGCATGCTGACATGATCAACAAGACTATATAATAAATTTCCCATTCTTTTCGTTAAGACAACCATACCATAATAAATTCTCAATTCAAGAAGCACCCCTGCCACGACATGGACCCATGTCCCCTTACCTTCAAGATCTACTGAATGTATGTTTTCTTTCAGAAATGGAAGCTGATGCAATGTTTGGTCAGCAGCATTACAAGTTTTCTCTGAGTTTAAATTTTTTTTTACTTTGATAAGAGTTATTCGACGTGAAACACAACATATACCATCGATCTGGTTGTTTAGTACTAACTGGAATTGCTTGTCTACTTTCAAGTTGGTAGCTTGGCAGGTGAATTGATACTCATCAAGGGTTGCATAACCATCTGGCTTTATTAATTACTAGCACATTTGCGGAATAAGTATTTTTTTTATTTTACTTTTTATTTAATTTATAAGAAAAAAACATTGAATAAAATTATGAAAGAAAAATATATTATTATCAGAAAATTGTTTTTCGGCTTCATGATTTTTTTTTCTAACAACAGAACAGTTTCTTTATTAGCAGTATAGTTTATTAGATAAAAAGCAACAACAATTATTAAAAGAAATTTGGAAAAACTATTATGATTTGAACTAAAAAGGAAAAAACATAATTTTTAATTAAACAAAAACTATATTTCTTATTCATGCATTTCTTTTTTATTTTGATGAAAATATGTTTGTTTGCAAGAAGTATCGTTTTTTAATTAAACAAATTATATCGACTAATTAATAAAAGAGAGAGAGAGAGAGAGAGAGAATGTAACTGTGAAGGATATATATATATATATATATATATTGGTGGGTACGTAAATGATAACTGTACTTTCAAGGAACCATTTCTTTGTAAGTGTCCCTGCGACAAGCACTGCCGTAGCATCAATGTCTTCTCTTTGCTGATGGGCTACAGTGGACGTAACTGGATCAGATCAGTTTAATTTCTTGCAACTAACGGGCCACAAGGGACGTTGTCCTGGCAGCCATACATATCTGTTCATTAGCTAGGCAGTTTTTTTTTTTTTTTATTTCACTTTTTTTTTTAGATTTTTTTAAATTACTTTTTATATATTAATTTCATATGTAAGTAAAGGGTTAATGAGAAAACTCAGATTTTTTTTCACTGCTTTTTATTTTTTTTTTAATTTCATCATTTAACATTAAACTAATAATTCTTTAATTTTATGATTTTTTTTTTAATTTCTTTATTTGTAGAATGAACAGAATTTGTTTGATGATGTATTATAAAAGCTAGATTAAACACCAGCATGTAAAATAAAAAGTGTAACTAATTTAACTTTAACATTCGGCATTTTACTAAAAACTTGTGTCTTGTTTTATTTTAGCATGAATTTTTCTTTATCCCAACTACAACTATTAAAACATTCACAGGACATGTCAAAAGGTAAGCTGGTTGATCAAAGAGATTTGCTGACTCGTTTAATTCAAATATTTGACAATCTATTCTCTCAAAATTAAGCAAGTGCACCTTAAAATTGTTGAGAAGAGAACTTAATTTTAAATGACACTTTAGCTAATCCAAGAACAAACTCCGACCATTGAAAAAAAAAAAGATACGGCAAAAGGTAAGCCGAGTGACGGGAGGTTTTGTTTACTCCTTTAGTTCAAACTTCGAAACCAACACTACAAAAATTTATTCTCTTGAATGAAAAACAAAAGCCCAAGAATTTCCTAGTCTGATGCCATGATACTTGGGGACCCGAGCAGGACGAGTTTGAGAGTGACAGACTGTTTTGAGGTGTGAACAACGAATCTTGAAGAACCAGATGACATGTCCTTGGCATTAAGGGTTCAAACGCTATATTTCAAAACGAAGCCTACATGTTTCATATTAAGCATTCACGTGTCCAAAATTCCAAATAATTGATTAATGACGATAAAAACCACAACTAATCAGTGGCCACGTTAATATGAGGAAAGAAACACTCCCAACTTTTCAAAAGAAAAGGATCGTGTTGAAGGGGACCCGTTCTTTTGACCCCTACAAGGCTACAACTGTGTTGTCAACCATTGGTTCTTGAAGGACCGCGGGACAGCTTTAGACTAGTCTTTATCTTACGGCCAAAGCTGCCATTTTCACAAGGAAATGGCTTCTGTATCAATGTGACAGCCTAAGACTGTAATCCTATGATGTTTTTCCACCGAAAAAGGACCTTCCTCGGCCCTGTAAATTAAGAGATTATGATAAATCATCAAAAGGATGATCTTAGGGCTCTTGATCATGAAGCAGTTGAGAAGGGTATTCAAAATCACATATACGATAGATCATTTAGGACATATCACCATGTGGGCTTGATTGACAGGGGTTGCAAAAAAAATTCACAAACAATAGTACAAATAGATCAACAAGATGCTTTTCTTCAAAGAGTACAAGTAATCTCTCCCTATCAATCCAGGCCCACCATATGGATGCGTATATAGACACAAGTTGCCTGGCTATTTATTAAATCACATTCCCTTCGCAAACAAAAACTCATCAAAGCAATGTTAACAAAGAGATAAAACACCCCCAGCAACGGCAATAGTAAAATTATCAGGCAACAGATCGAGGCATGCATTCTTTATCAAGTGTTCAAAAGAACGTAAACAAGAGAAGGTTCAGCAATGAACAAATAAAGTTCCTGGAAACTATTTTTCGAGTCAGAATCAAGACCAGAGTCGGAGATAAAACAACAGCTGGCTAATGAAATTGGACTTGAGCCTTGTCAGGTTGCAATATGGTTCCAGAACAGGATAGCTAGACTGAAGACTAAGCAGATTGAGAAAGAGTATAGTTCACTGAAAGAAAATTATGAAGCTCTAGCTTCTAGATTTGAGTCCTTGAAAAGAGAAAACCAGTCATTGCTCATCCAGGTACCTTTTTTTTTTTTTTGTGGACTATAAGCAGTTTTTTAAGTGTAAAGGTACCCTTCTCACTGAACTAAACTGTCTGGCATGCATGCTGAATCTAAAAAGAGCTTCAATTTTCAACAGTTTAGAAACTGAAAAACCAATGCGTAAAGCAACATGGGAACAGCAATTTTAGACACAAATCTGAAAGCAGCCATGATGGCAGATTTGAGGATAAGGGTACTGACTCAGAATCAAAAAGGAAACCCAGCTTTCAACAGGAAGGTAATGACCGTAAAGAAGACAAGACTTCAAGTGACAATAACAGTAGAAATATTGAGCGCACGAGGGGAAAAAAATAGACATTTTGAACCAGACCGAAGATGCAGTCGACTCAATGACATCATCTGACTGGCAAAGTTTTCAGTCTAATTGCTTTCTTGACGAGTCAGGATGCAGTTCACAGTGGTGGGAACTCTTGTCATGATCGTTGGAACGCTACTTCAAATGAAAAAAGTATGAATAAACACAAACATGTTTAGCATCTACATCATGGAGCAAAAGTCCACTTGCATCCAATACTTCTGTCTCTTCAAGCAATCTTGATAAATTATATAATTCCAAGTAGAAGTTTAATCAAGCATCAAATATAGCCACTTTCAATGTGTCATAAAGTTGAGGATATTTATCCTTCCCAGGTACTAATGGGAAAAGTGTCAATAGCACTATATCACAACAATCTCCAAATCAAAGCATGCATACAGAGAGTGAATAACATTTAACATTATACCATTAGAATAGATCATAAGTTGTCACATTCACAGATTTAAGCAAAAGGTGATGCTACATGGAACAAGCATACAACGTAATCCGGCATAGACTGACTCCTAATGCTACATGGTGAAGTCAAGTTGGTGTAAATCAAAGAATCTGATTCACAGTGGTGGGGCAATAGATCATAAGTTGTCACGTTCACAGATTTAAGGAAAAGGTGATGCTACATGGAATAAGTATACAACGTAATCTGGCATTTATAGACTCCTAATGCTACATGGTAAAGTCAAGTTGGTATAAAACAGAGAACCTGATTCACAGTGGTATGGCCCCTTAATGCTCTGGTTTTACCTTCACATCTCCGTTGGGTAATGAGCTTTGTGATTGAGCAAGCCGTTTTGCTTCCTGAAAGATGTAAAGAGTCTTAAGATTATAAATTTTTCTAGGGGAAAAAACAAAGAAAGAAAAAGAAAAGCTTCCATGTTATTGTTATCTTTTGAAGCACAACTTGCTTCAACAAAGCAACTGGGTTGTCAATCAAAGATCCCAACTTACAGATGTTTAAATTTACAGGCTAAAAATGTGTTATTTTAAGATTTTAATTCCAATCTAGACTACAAAGAATAAGTATGTTTGTTCTTGATTCTTGTTCTTGAACAATGCTGCTCGCCTGCTCCATTCATAGGTCAATTAGCGCATACAATCATCCACACGTTTTAAGGGTATATTATGACAAATGATATCTGCTACAGAAAACCTAAAATGCTATTACATAAGCCTAGGGTAGTTGACACCATTTTACATGAAACTGCTTCCATGCAATAAATTTGGGCGCCTATACAATTTTGACAGGTGTTATGTAAATAATTCTCATTTCTAAAACTGGAGTCAACAAAACTGCCAAAGCTACACCAGGATGTAGCGACCATATTGAATATGATAAGGTTAATGTGTTTGAGACCACGAGGAGGCATAAATTTCAGTTGCTGGTAGGTTAATAAACACTAGCTGCTTCAATAATTTCACTGTTCATCATAACAAAAAAACATTAAGGATTGCTGTTCCCCACCATAATAAATCTCATGCTTAAGGATTTGCATCGCTGAGCTGCATTCATTGCCAGCATCCTAACCTTAAAAATGATTTAATAGAGATCTTTGCATGACAAATTTTGTTTCATATTACAAACAGAAAGATAGGAAAATTGAGCTGAGAAATCCATCCAACATGTCATAAATATAACTTACAGCAGCAGACATTGCACGTATCTCCCTGTATGATTCAACTTCATCTGGAAAAGTCTGTTCAAGTTCCTCCAGTAGATGCTTGCGTAAACTCTATAAAATCAATGGTCATACAATGAATTTTATCAAACGCACACAAAGCAAATTGCATGCATGAATATCTAATGGAATAAATACTGCACAATACATCAAGAGAAAACAGCATTTCATAGTGGGAATCAAAGAAGTACCTTGAAGGCATCAGTTTTGCCTTTGGTAACTTGATTTTTTGCGATGCAGCTGTTCATAACACCCCTTGTGAATTCATCTGGATTCTTCCCATCATCAATCAAACTAAGCACAAAGCAATAAACTTGCTATCAGTTTGCCAATGCCAACAAGCTGGAATTGGTTCACCTCAAATAACAAATCACAAAGATACACTCACTTCAAGACCTCCATAGGAACCTGAATGTTGCACCTTTCAGACAATTTAGCCATATTGTCCAGCTCGGTAACAAGACCATTGCTGCAAAATCACACCATTATATCATAACACAATGCATCGAGTAACAAACCAAAGCAAAGGATTGAGAGAAAAGTACAGTCTCTGTAGAAGAGGAAGCTGTGAAGCAGTGTTGAACGAAGAGACTGTTAGGTAAAGCTGATGGAGTTGACCAAGAGTCTTCTGTATGGAATCAATAACTTGGTTCAAATTCTGCTTCGGATCATCCACTGCTGCTTCTGTATCATTCAATGGAGTGGCCAACATTCCATTACCTCCACTCCCCAACACTGTATTCTGCGACGAATCCATTTTGTACAATGCGCCTGTCCAAAGAATAACAATAAATAGGCCATTGAACATACAGTAAAGAAATTGACAAAATTAAGCAAACAAATGATAACCGCGGCATATACAGAATATAGGGTCCCCTCAAATTTTGTCAAGCTTCGGAATTCATCCAACAACCTTAAATTAAAGTTCCGAGCTTTACAAATGAAACAAATCAATGAAAACATGCATATATATTCAGAACATTAAACAAACAATAACGATTTCCAAATGCATCCAAAATCTTAAAACTGAAAACCCACAAAAAAAACTGATAACCTAGCTCCATAATCCCATTACTATATTACAGTTAGCAAGAACCAGATCATAAAATTTAAAAAATAAAAATAAAAAACAGTATAATGAAAATTAATGAGTTCTACGCGAACCCTGATTGTAAAAGCAAGCAAATGACCAAAAACTTAACTTTAAAAAAATGAAACTGGGATTGCTTTACCTGTTGAAATTGGTAAGGGATCTCTGTTGCTTTTGGGTTTTCAGCAGGGAGAGCGATCTCCGTCGAGGAGGAAACAAAAGCTAGTTCTTCGACTCACATGCCGTTTACATTTTATCTACAATGAACAACACGTCGCTCATATGACTGGGTTTTGGGAAAACCTCTTATAAGTCCCTACCCTTTGAGGTAAATCTTGATTAGCTCTACATCCTAATTTTCATCTCAATTAGGTCCCTAATGTATGCATGAATTTTAAATCAGATACTTCATTCGCTTTTAGTCAACAAATGAGTGATCGCATGAACGTTTCCATAAAACAACCAGTGGACTTCATTATAAACATTGAAGGAGTAACAAAATCTCGATGATATAATTTTATTTTTAAAAAATGACTTAATAACTAAACTTAATTTATGGGGCTTCACCAAACTTAATTTCTGGGTTTAAAATAATTATTTAATATTGCATTGGATTCTTAATAACTAAATAATCAGTAATTCAAATTTCATCATATATATTCTCTCTAACTAGATAAATAAAGTTCAAGCACATAATTCAGATATCTTCTTATAAAAATAGGTGTAAAGTTCATAGGAAAAATAATATTACAAGCAATACATTAAATATTCCACAATTCAACCTTTATAAGATGTATAGACATAATTATTATTTAATTGAAGAACTTTTCAAATCAATCGCATTAGATTTCTTTATACATATCAAACAAAACAAGACACCTAAGACTATCAACAAGGACTCATCTAATAACCAATAAACTTTTTAGTTGAGATTTTTTTTTAATAGACCACTAGTACGCATGGAAATAATATAAAATATACTTTGCAATGCATAAACATTGAAAAATAAAAAATTGTGAAGCTTTAAGCTGGAGATACCGATATTTTTAACCCCATAAGCTGCAACTTTTCATCGAACAAGGTTGATGCTGTCTCGTGAATCCAATCAATCAAGTTTTTTTTTTTTATGGGTTTGATCTAATCTTGTTTTTAACATTAATCTAAACTGCTTTATCAATATATATATATATATATATATATATATATCAAACCGATTATATAATCTGGTTAAGAGCAAGTTTAGTACTGGAATAATTTTTATTTTTAAAAATATTTTTTAAAAAATATATTAAAATATTTTTTTTATTTTTTAAAATTTATATATGATACCAATATACCAAAATAATTTTAAAACAAAAAAATATTTAATTTCAAATAAAAAATATTTAAATTCTTTTAAAAAAAAATTGAAATATAAAAAACAAACCGGGACTAACAACACGAAGCCCGACACCAAGAAAAGAAATTTAAGAAAATGTGTGCTTCATAGTTCACTGGACCCTCTTAAATTTTATTTATGTTTCATTGTAATACTTATGTTGAAAAAAATAGATATTATTGATATGTTAATATGTAAATTGAAAGGAAAAGAGAGAGAGAGAGAGAGAGAGTTAAAATATCCAATGCTTTTGTTTTTATAGTTTTCAAAGCCTTGTCCAAACTTGCCATTTAGCTTGACACTATTTTAGCTTGACGTTCCTGAAAATTATAGAAATCTTAAAAATAGTTGTATTAAAATTAAAAAGAATACTAAATGATTGAGTGGATGGAGGATTTAGTAAAGTGGTTTGTTGAAATGATTTTTTTATGGTTTGATAAAAGAATGGGAAATCGTAAAAGTGCTTTTTTGATTAAAAAAATAAAATTGAGAAGCACTTACAACTGCATTATAAAGAGCGTGTCCAGCCTATGGTATATTTGATGTGTTATGAGACCACTTACTTCAAATCCGCCGGTGGAGAAAGCCCGAGGAGCTTCCCTTCCTCGGCTTCGCGGGATCCACACAGCACGTTGCTGGAAGTTTGAGGGCTATGCTACCTGCCTAACCTTCCGCTCCGAGTGACCGTAAATATTTTGGTAATTAACTGATTGCTGTTGTGTTGCCTTGGGATATTATTTGGTAATAAATTTTATTTTTTAAAAAAATAATTTAAAAAAATATTATTTTTATTATTTTGTTATGTTGATCTTAAAAATAATTTTAAAAAAATAAAAAAATTATTTTAATATATTTTAATATGAAAAACATTTGAACAACAATCACTATCACATTCTTAAACCGTCATTATTCGATAAATAATTTATTATTATGATATTTGAATTAAAATTGTCATTAAGGACCTAAATTAAATCTTTTTCTTAAGGAACCAAATAAATTGCTTAAAAAATAAATTCTTTCTTTGAAAAACAAACAATTATAAAGAAAAAAACATAAACAAAAAAAATATAAATATAAACATTATATCATTTCTTTTAGTGAATAGAAATTCTAAAGAAGGTAATAAAATATATTAGGGTAAACGGTGTATTTTTATAATTTTAATATTGTTTCTATTTTTTAATAAAATAAGTAGTTTATTATTTATTAAAAAAACATTATTTTTTGTTGCTAGATAATAATATAAATTATATCTTGAGATTTCATATAAAAATTTAAATTATTGAGTTGAGATAATTTTTAGATATGATATCGGAACCTTGATGATCAAATGATCACAAGTTTGAATATCATAATGCTTATTTATTTGATAAAAATTAACCACAAGTTAATATGAATCTGCACAAGGTTTAAACATAAAAAAATTTAATTAAAAAAATATATTAAAAAATAATATAAATTATATCTGATAACTCATCTAAAAATTTAAGTTATTAAGTTAAAATGTTTTTTTGACACTTATATTTTTAAAATGGAAGTTAACATGCATTTAACCTATTTAAAAAAAAATCACTTTTAAATTCTAGACAATTGGTTTTTTAAAACTCCATACCAATGCTATTATAATAAATAAAGGTGATTTTTATTATTATTATGATTCAAAATTTATCGAATGCTTAATTCAATTAAAAATAAGCAATTCACGTGTCATAAAGTTTCATTGTGAAGGAGGCAAACTGATGATGCTTTGGTCTGTAGCATACTATGAAGCTGATCCACCTCTCAAAATTTCCTGATGTTTCATTAGGCTTTTTGTAATGGATAATAATAATAATAATAATTCACGTGCTAATATATAATGTGTGCAGAAAAATACTCGAAGATACTCTTTTGGTTACTTGGGTTTCAAGGCTTTATCCAGTCATAATCAAAAAGCCAAGTGAGTGCAGCGGCCTTCAGTGCATTTCTGAACATTCATCGAGAAAAACAATTTTTTTTTTTTTCATCGAAAAGATCAGTTGTGTTTTCTCTACTATATTCTGGATGCCAACACACAGATATGCTTGGGAATAGTAGATTTTCAAGTTTTTTTTTTTCTTTTCCTTGAAGCTTTCGAGATTTATGTTGATTTTATGCTTATCAAATCGTATAATATTAGCTAATTAAATTATATGCGCTGCGGTGTGGTTGAATTAAAAATTATTTTTAAATGAAAAAATGAAAGTGTTAGTATTGAAGTCGTTTCCTGGCTTGAAGAAAACTTTTCATTATTTTTATCATAGCAGTTAATTGTTGTTATTAAAATCAAATGATTTTTATTTTTATACAAAATTCATATAAATACTGCTTATTCATATAAAATATTTTTTTTAGAATAAATCAAATTAATTTCTTTAAAATATCATACAACTAAAAGAAAATATAAAAAAATCAAATATTATCTAAAAAACAAAGTTGATTCAATTTATTAAAAGAGAGAGATATGGCATAATTTAATATTTAAATAGAAATAAATTAATAAAAAAAAGAGACCAAACTTTGATGAGTCGGCGTGCATGGATGGGAAGCTCAGCCCCACCCCTGCACTCAACGACCAGATGACATGCTCTTGTATTTTTTAAGGTAGGTGATAGGTGACATGTCGTTAACTGGTTAACTGGTTTTTAGATGAATCTATATTTTTTAACTTACAAATCTAATTTGCAACTTATTTTTTTACTTAAAAACACTTTTAAAATGCAATATAAACCTTGAAAAATCACTTAACAACTCCACAATATTTCAAAATTATTCAAAAAAATAAAAATCAAACAAATCAAATATAACTCGATTTGTTTAACTTATCATGTTCAGAGAAAAAAATTATGAGAACCTCTTAATACAAAAATCTCTTTTTTTATGGATGAAATGTGGTCTTATAATAACTTTTTTTCTCATTATTTTCTAATGAGTTTTTTATCTTAAAATTAAAAATAAATAAAATAAATTTTAGTAGTTTTACTTTTCATGTAAATAGTGAAACTGACACCAGGATATTTAATATTTTTTTTTAAGATAATTGACTTATTATATTCTGGATATAGCATAAAGGTTTCAGAAAAATCTAATTAAGAATAGGTTTTGTAATAAAAAGATTTTCATCCTTTTTTCACTTTCAGTTCAAACATTGAAACTAATACTTAGAAAATTTATTAACTCGAACACATCAAACCAGTATTAAAATCACATCTTTGAAATCGACTGTGAAAAGTTTTTAACAACAAATTGACGTAAGAAAAGTAATGACCACCCACTTGAAAAAAATAAAAGAAACCATCCCACCATACCACCAAACAAATGACTACTGCAACATGATTGCCTTTGTCAGGGGTCCCCTAAATAGCCCGTGGTTTTATACATGTACAGTTCACTTTCTGCCCTCGAATGGAGCTTGAAGACGTCAATATTATATATCGCCGCCTGATAACCTTTATCCCGGATTGAAATCTATGGACGTTTGCAGTTATACATAGATTTGTTTCAAGTGCAATCGAAGTCTATGTAAGAAATTTCAATGTTTTATTCAAGTTTGACTGCAACTTCTGATTACAATCCAGTATATGAAGTTGGATAATTCTCTATATATGCAGTAAGAAAAAGAAGCAAAAAGATGAATTCTGGAGCACAGTTGTATTATGAAGAACCGGTGCTTTCTTCCTACAGCCGCCACTGGGAACCTTTTTTTTTTTTTTGATTTTATGCCTTTTGTACTGATTCAAAAATAAAGTGCCAAGAAACATGTTAATGACACTGCTAAATGATCATGGCTAGGGTTCATGCTTAAAGTGAAATACTCGTAATCTGATTCCAACAAGAATCTTCGATTTAGAAACCCAGTGCCCATTAATTGACCGGTGTGGATAAGCTAAGA